GTATCTTTTATCCAGCTCTAACCTGAACCATAAGTAACCAAACAAAATATAAGACTTTTGGTTAATTTTGTTGTTTGATTACATTCAGATTTTTATAAAATTGAAGATTATACTGTGGAGAGCTGAAAAATGTTTCCATAAGCTAAAAAGTAACAGGTTTCGACACATAGTTGGGATATTTGTTCCACACAATGCGGTGAATACAAACCCGTACAAACATTCACATACACACTCTCATGCACACAGACACACACACACACATTCACATACAGTACACACTCTCATGCACACAGACACGCACACACACATCCTGCTCTCTTCCCATGAAGCTCGGTGCTCTGAGCTGAGCGCCCTCTGCTGCCCACAGCTGTTACTGCTCCCATTCCTTTAATATGGAAGCCATCTGCTTCTGTTGATGTTTCGCCTGATATTTCATGCCAAACCTTCACATGGTTTTGTTGTCATTTTTCACACATAAAACTTATGGGTTCTTTCACAGAACTCACATCTGGTCAGAAAGTTTGGATTACCACCGAAGCACCTGCTGGGACAGTCGTCAGGCCTACAGATACTCCTAGATCATATGTGGTCGAGACCAGTGGCAGCTTCTATAAGACTACAGATGAAACAATGTTTCACCAAGAAAAAATAATCTTCATGACAATCAATTTTATTGGTGTGAAACCACAAAATGTTCATAAAAATAAGGTGCATCTCCTAATTTTAGCTCCTGAACGGTATACGGCTCTGGTCAAAAACGTGAATCAGTGCCACCCCCAACTGCGGTGAAACAGAGAATTTCAGTGAAACAAGCTTCACCCCAATCGATATATTCCCCCATTAGTTTCAATGTAAATCATCTCAGACCCCGGTGGCTGGTGGAGTTTCCAAGTTCAATGGACTCTAAAGGCAAATAAGTCCCACCCGTGAAACAAGTGACTGCCTACTGTGATAGGGTAGTTATCCACTTCAATATGACTGACACAACACTGTGGCCAATCACTGCCAATCATGTACTGAGCACCTGATCTTGAGTGTGAGGGCAGTTTGAAAGCTTCATAAATAACAAAACGCATTACATTTCATTTATGAAATCTTCATTTTTCAAGCTATGGTATTTTTCTGTGAATTAGAGGGACTTGTGACTTTATGTGTTTTGTCTATGTCAGATTTGTTTTATTATTCAAAATAAGTGCTTATTCACAAAATGAATGGAGCGGCCTATAATGTGAGGCGTCTTATCGTTGGGGAAATACGGTAGCTACCTTTTTGCCTGTTATTTCCATAGCTGCTCGCTAACTCCTCTGCGAGATGGATCTACTTACCAGAACGGAATAACATCGTTGATCCCATCTTACAGGATTCTTTCACAAATTTTGCTGATTGATGAAGGTTTCCGAGCCCAGTTAACACAGCCCAATGAAATGGTGAGGAAGAACCATGAAATTTTGAGGAGGTTAATTGACATAACAACACTTTTGGGTCGTCAGGAGCTTGCTTTCAGAGGGCATGATGAAAGTTCAGATTCCGACAATAAAGGCAATTACAGACAGAATGCTGAGATGCTCTCACGATACAATGAAGCACTGGAGTCACATTTGTGATTGTCTACGGTTATTTCGGGAATGTCTAAGATGATCCAGAATGATCTGATTGACGCAGTGTGTACGATTCAAGAGGAGATTAAAAGGGAGATTGATGCAGCTCCGTTTTTTGCGTGGCAGATTGATGAGACCACCGTCATTTTATGTAAAGCACAGTTGTCAATAATTGTGCGGTATGTTGATGTTGCTGGAGTGATTCAGGAGCATTTTCTCAGATTCTTCGATGTGTCAGGAGGTCGAGACGCAGAGTCGATTTTTAATTTTGTTGAGAAGGAGATGGCGATGTATGATTTCAGACACAAGCTCGTTGGACAAACATACGACGGAGCTGCTGTCATGGCATCATCTCTGAACGGCTTGCAGGCGAAAGTGAAAGCTGTTGCCCCACATGCGCAGTTCGTTCACTGTTACTCAATCTAGTGCTGGCTCAAGGAGCAAAGTGCATCCCAGAGGCAAGAATTTTCTTTGCCAATCTGTCTGGCTTTTCCACATTTCTCAGCAAGTCAACAAAGAGAATGATGTTTTTGGAGGAGAGTGATTGTGCTCGTCTTCCTAGAAATGCCCCCACATGCTGGAATTTCTCATCAAGAATTGTTCGCACTGTTGCAAACAATTCTGAGAAACTTCTTTATGCATTTGAGAGGATGCTTAAATCTGAGAATGTGGATGAAGCGGACCCCATAAATGGAGCAACTGGATTCATCAATCTTTCGGAAAATTTCGAATCACCATTGTCATGTTGCTGACATAGAATCAGGGTCTGTCTGAAACAGATGTTTTTTGACATTTTGCAACAGAAAGCTGCAGATGTGGTTTTCTGTAAGAAACTAATCAACTCTCTTCCATCATTCATTGCTGAAAAGAAATCAGAGGTGTCACTCGGCGCAATCTATGAAAAAGCTACCAACATGACCTGTGATCCAGCAGCACTAAACAGAAGGAGAAGGCAGTGTGGTCCAGATGCAGAAGAGCATTACAGAGATGTCTATGTGTCTTTGAGAACCTCACCAGCCAAATCAGCCAGAGCTTTGCACACATGGACAGCATGCATTTCCTTGAACTGCTCAATGCAGCTTCATTTCAAGAAATGGCGGAAACCTTTCCAACCTTTCCTTCAACTGCTTGTTGAAAGGCTACAGACATTTTGTTGTGCCTGACAGATTAAAGGGAAAAGGAGATTAAAGGAGTTGTAAGTTCTGTACTCAGGTAAGGATTTTCACAGTGGAAACGAAAAACTTTGTGATCTCATTGCATTTTTCAAGAATGGTGGTCTTGACAAAGTTATGTCAGAGGCTTACAAGTTGATGTGCTTGACTGCAACAATTGGAGTGACTTCAGCTGGTGTGGAGAGAAGCTTTTCATGTCTAAAACATCTGAAAAGTTACACATGCAATACCATGGGCCAGGAGCGACTGCGAAACTTGGCTTTTCTTTCAATTAAAAAGAAACTGGGAATTTTTGGAACAAAATTCCTGCTGGTATGACAGAGTCATTAACAACTTCACCAAGAAGACCAGGAGGGTAGAATTAATTTACAAGGTGAGACAGAGGTTAGACGTGTTTTCTTGGGATTTAGCAATATTGTAAATGATGTATTGGTGAAATAAACATCACTATTACTTGTTTGTAAGATATGTACAATAATATACACATTTTTATATTTTGTAGTGATTTAACACTACGAGGGTAGAGCAGGAGAAGGAAGGTGTGAGGCAGCAATAGTGAATGTTAGCGTGGATCTTTGTAATAATAGTATAGACTCTGTAATGTGTTGTAATATTAGAGTTAATGTGTGTGTCCTTGTGATTTTTGTATGGCTTTGTCAGCTTCATGTTTAACAAAAGTATGCAAGCATCCAAAAAAAGAACAAAGAACAAAAAAACAACCAAAACAAACCCCATAATACAGTAACATCCTTATATAACCTCCTATCATGACCTGTACCTTGAATTGGGGAGTGGGCTTCTGCCTAAACAGGTTTTGCTTAAGTGTGTGCTTGCTTATATTTGTGGTTCAGTGGGCTAAGCCTGTGTGCTTGTAATCCCAAGGTTGCTGCTTCACACCCAGCCTCAGCACGTCAGTGGGTCCCTGTGTAAGGCCCTTAACCCCCAGCTCCCTGGGTGCTGCTACGGGTGGCTGCCCTTCGTGGACAGCTTGCTTACAAAAGAGCAAGTTGTGGGAGGCGTAAAGACAATTTCCCCACAGGGATTAATAAAGTGATTATTGTTATAATATGTGTGTGTAATATAAAAATAATGTAGTCAATGTAATCCACAGGAGGTTCGGACGAGCCGGGCGTGACATGTAGCTGAAGTAAAAGAATTATATCAATAATGTGGGACTGCTATTAAATCAACGAATATTGAAAACTCATTCAAGGTACCATGCAATTGTGTATTGCAATTTAATTTTGTCAAATCAGCCGTATTGTCTGGTGCTTTAGTGGGGTGAAGTGCAATATTAGAATCTGTGGATCCTGACTAAGATACCTATGCAAAATTTAGGGTGGTATACACATCTTAGACTAACACTGTTCGGTGTACATATATGTCCACCGCGTACATTTATGTAGGCTGCACACCATACAGACAAATCAATTTAACTGTGCAAAGAGTGTTCTTTTTTAGCTTTCACAATTACATTTGTTAAGATTGATTTAATTTTTCATTATAAAAACACATTTATAGTTAATTTATAAACAACTTTCTGTCATAACTCAGTCCAAAAGTCGCTGCATGATGGGAATAATATCGCATCTGCCGATAAAATGTTTCCTTTAAACTTCTTTACGAACACACACTACATATATTTATTAGCCCATTAATCTGTTAATATTTTAATACTATAAGTAAAACAAAGCATATTTATCTTAAAAATTATGTTGACAGAAATCTGTTATGTCGTGGATGTAGGTTATTATGATGCAAAATTCAGATAACAAATCAATAAAATGTATAAATACTATATAAATACAAAAAACTACTATATAAAAATAAAAATGCACATATATACACTGAAGTACTAACAGCAATGAAAAGAGAGAATGGAGGAGAGGGGAAGATAAAAAAGGAAGAGAAAGAAAGAGAGAAAAACAAGAAACATTACACTAATCAAAGATCTGATAAAACCAACAAGCAAAAAAATTTAAAAATTATGTGCTTATGATTTAAGTATGTTAATGATTTAGGTGTTACTGTACGTAGTTCCGCATTTTACATGTAGGCTACAAATACAATGAATAAAGTGCGTTATGAGAGAATTAGTTGGCGGCAGCTTGTCCCATTACTCTTATTGTTACTTGTTATTAAGCGACATGGATAATATCCCCAAAAATAATACGCCGGGCCACTGAGTCCGTGTCCATTTCTGCTTAGACCGCTCCCGCGTTTGGTATAAAGGTGATTATTTCCTGCTGCGTGTAAATAAAAGTGAAAGTATCTGGAGTCTCCATTTTGTCCAGAAACACGGATAAGATTCTGGAGTAATATAAAGACATTTTGTATTGCAAGGTAAGATTATATTTAACAGATACTGTTATTAATAAAATAAGTATGTATAACACACTTATATAGAGCGGCGGCGCGGTGATTTAAGGTTGCAGGTACTATGGGGAAGCTAGAGTATTACCTGGTACAGGTGTGATCGGGAGCTGAGAGGCAGCTGGTGTCTGATCGGCAAATTTCTCGGCGGGTTCGGCGCTCAAGCCCATATTTTGACTACTTAGCTACGTGCCTGACTATAAAATGTATACCGAAATCAGCTATGTAGGATAATTATATAAATAAATTCTAACTTGTAGCTCACGCAGCGCCCGGTGTATTTTGGACAAAAATGTACAATTCAGGTAGGCCTATAAAAACAGCGAACCTCAACCCCAAAGCCAAAAATATTATTTTGTGTTTTTTCCCCCAGCAAGACAGTTAAAACAACATAGATCTGTTCAGCAGAGGTCTTTGTCTAATTTAAAAACAAAATGTATTGTAAGGCAGATTTTGATAATGTGTGGGCTTATGTGTGAGTAAAAGATGAAGAAATAAAATACAGTAAAAATGGCAGGTCTCATACCTTTATTTTTATACCTGTATATAAATTAATAGAGGCAGCATGAAAAAAAACACTCAGAATGAATCTGAAATGAAATAATGGCTTTGATGTTAAAGTATCAAATGTTAACTCTACTTCTTCAATGCAATCAGCAAAATTCGATGGGTGGGTCATTTTTAATTTGGTGATTGGAAAGGAGCAGTTAGGACCTCAAAAGGGAGGCACTTTCAGTTCAGTCATTCAGGCTAAATGGCAGGACACCCCCCCCACCCTGCATGTACCTATTTGTAGTTGAATCTCCAACTCAGTTGTATGAAACTCCTGTAGCACTTCCTTGCTGTCAGTTTTGATGTCATGGTGAATGTTCCTTCCAGCAAGCCCAGGGCGTCGGCTGTCTGAGAAACTTGCCGAGCTTGTCGGTGCAGATTATTCGAATGATGTAACATCACTTATTATTGTGTGGAACATGAAAGGTTGACCTACAGGCCAGATTTACTACTGAATTATAAACATGTCATGGGTTGGTGCCTCTTCTAATTGGTGAATGGGCTGACAAAGACCTTCATCCTCCACTATGGAAAATTACTGATCATCCAATGCAATCATCTCCATTATTTTAGTAGTTGTTTCTTTAGCTCTGGTGCTGCTAACTTTGAATACTGATAAAGCTTTAATATCAGCCTGCAGTATTGGTAATTTAACCAGTACATTGGCAGATTAAATCACAGGCCCCTGGGCACAAACCTTTCCAGGCCTCCCCTCTGCCATATATGTTATGCCACTTGTTCCCACTGGGCTGTCCTGAGTACCAGAGGATTTTATCTTAAAATGATTGCTGACTGCCTTCACAAACAGAGAACAGAGCTTTGGAGCCTCATGGTTATTAACTGGGCCCTGAGACCCCAAACCCACAGTATGCACTAACCAGTGAGCTAAGACGCTAACAACAAGCACTGCATAGTTTTGACTCTCCCTGCCGGCCCCTGGAGGATGGGCTCCCCCTTTGAGTCTGGTTCCTCCCAAGGTTTCTTCCTTCTCAGGAGTTTTTCCTTGCCACTGTCGCCTATGGCTTACTCACTGGGGGCTTTAGGTGGGGATGCTGTAAAGTGCTTTGAGACGATGCAATGTTGTGCTAATGCGCTATACAAAAATAAATTTGTTGTTGTTGCATAGTTACTGGAGGATTTCATCCAAAAACGGGTGCTGATGGTCGCCATGAGGGACAGGGCTGGAGGCCCCCCTAGGTAACTGAAGGGCCCCAAAACCACAGCTGGCCAAAACTGTGTAGAATCTAAAGCTGTATTTCCACTTGCGTACAGGAACCACGCCATACCCGACCCGTTCCACATAGAGATAATAATTACTGTGCAGTCCCAGCTCCATTTAATTTTCCACTGCACAACTTGTGACAAGGGTCGGCTCGGTAAAGGTGTTGCCAGGTTTGTTGAGCAAAGTGACCATTATTTGCTGTTCACACAGTATACATCATGAATTACTTTGTGCTAATTTCCCCTCCTCTGTCTGTGGGCGCTTTCATACCAAACTTCTGCAACATGGTTCCTGGTAACAAGTTCCCGGGCTGCCTCTATCAGGGACTTTTGTAGCTCGTGGCCACTTTCATGTGCCGCTTTCACACCGCAGAACAGGAACTGGGACCTTCATGCTAAATAAGCCTGGGAGACGCAAAGAAAGTTGAAGGCTAAACTTCATAAATTCATACAAAACTACACCACCACCAAAAAACAATGGAGAATGAACACCTCGTTATTTGTTAGTTAATGGGAAATTGATCGCAATCAAAATACATACAGTCTTTTATTTATATGGCCCGTGTTATTTTACTGAATCTGGCCAGAAGATTGATCTTTCGTTTTCTACAAAATAAAAAAAATGTCACTGGAGTTATTTGACAAAAGTAAATTTGGTATTTGTAATGTTGGCACCCGAATAACCAGACCAGAGAATAGAACACAATGCTATTTACTTAACAAATAGTACAGCAAAATATCATGGTAGCTCAGCAAGGATTTTTCCGTATCCGGCGGTAGTCACTCCTATATCCATCAATCTTTTTCTCTCTATCTCTTCTCAACAGTATCAATTTTTTCCGACACTGCCACCTAGTGTTCTAAAGTTGCAATAACAATCAGTTAACACAACAGTATTGATACACTTTTACAATGCAGAAATATGGAGACACAAGCAAAAAGGTTTTCATTGATGCATTAAATATAATTGAGGTACAAAAATAATTCCATCTGCTCAGTTTTTGCTCCAGTGCTTGTATCTCTTTTCCCAGCACTTCTGCATAACTTCCAAGTCAGTTCCAGTGCTTGTGGTCAAACAATCAGCAAGTTATTGCTATTGGCCCCACCCCAGTCTTCCAGTGAAAAGCACCTACTCCAGAATAGGCCTACCCATCCATACAGTTGTTCTATATTACTTTGATAAGTAAGAGGTTGGAAATTTTTAAGTTCCGAGTTTTGAGGAATGTATATATACATCGCGATGTGCGATACTACTAATAATGAAATATATATAGAATATACCTTTTATTCCTTCAGATAATCCATGTATGTTAATGTAGATCACTGGATCTTTCTTGTCTCTGTGAATTTCCACCAATCAGATAGTGGTGACACACCCAGATGGGTTTGGTCAGTCTCTTGGCTGTGCTAGTAAGCAGGTCCATGTCAGCAGGGCTATAGGTCAGATACAGCTCACATACTTTACAAGGGAAACCGTCTCTTTGCCGGACATCTACATATAAAAATGGCCATGGACTGTCTTCACAAGGTGGGGGACTTCGCTCGGGGCCCCCCTAAGGCCTTGGGGCCCCTGTGCCCAGACCCAGTGGGCCAAGCCGTAATCCACCCATGAACCGATACATCGTGTATCTCTACATTTTAGGAACTTTCCCACCACAGGATCTTCTTTCCGGAACCAAGACTTTTTTTCAGAAACCAGGCGATTATCTTGCTGATTGTTTGTCCACAAGCATCGGCAATAACTTTGAAGTTACATAGAAGTGTGAGGGAAAGTAGTGGAGCAAAAATTGCACAGTGGAATTACATTTCAGTGCAAACCTGGGTTTTGGGATCACAGTCTGGTGCAATTTTGGTAGAGCAATGAAAACCGAATTTTAAAAAATATATATTTATTATTAAAACTGCAAAAACTAACACACAAACAGTTACTGTATAATCCAAAGGTAATGTGTCTGTCCACTTGTCTGAATAACAAAATCTAAGACCACAATAATTTATTAGCATGGTGTAGGACCTCATTCTGCGGCCAGTACAGCATCAGTTTGTCTTGGGAATGACAGATACCTGTACAGTGACAGTCCTGCACAGTGGCCAGAGGGATTTTGAGCCATTTGTCTTGCAGGTCAGAGGCCAGGTCACTACGTGATGCTGGTGGATGAACACGTTTCCTTACTCGCTCCTCCAAAACACCCCAAAGTGGATCATTAATATTCAGGTCTGGTAACTGTACAGCCCTTGAGAGATGTTCAGCTTCATTTTCATGTTCATCAATCTACTCTGTCACCAGTATTTCTGTGTGTATTGGTGCATTATCATCCTGATACATGGCACCAACTTCAGGGTACAATGACTGAACCGTGGGTGAACATGGTCCTCCAGAATGGTTTAGTTGTCCTTGGCAGTGACACGTACATCTAGAACAAGTCGTGGGCTTAGAGAAAGCCATGATATTGCAGTGCAGACCATCACTGGTCCACCCCCGTGCTGCACTCTGGGTGCGCAGCAGTCTGTGTGGTGACCCTCTTTGGGGCTTTTCCACACTGTAACTGTAGGAAAGACAGTGAAGGTGGACTCATCAGAAAACAATACATGTTTCACATTATCTACAGCCAAAGATTTGTGTTGCTGGCACCATTAAAATCGACGTTTGGCATTGGCATCAGTGACCAAAGGTTTGGCTGTAGCAGCCCGACCATGAATGTTGACCCTGTGTAGCTCTCCTGTGGGGGCCCAGGACGAAGCAGCTTATTCGGGGCCCCAGCTGAGGCCAACATAAACCAAGTATTACAAACCATAGTGCTGCTACTGCTTGGTCATTGTGATGTAGATGTAACTATAATGAAGAATAATAACTAACCAGTTGCTGACAATCTGCAGTGTGACCTTTCTAGACTAGCCAGTGCAAAACAGTAGTGTGGCCATGCAGGTTACATTAGCCTAAGCTATGTGATCATATGTCCAAGATAGGACTTACATTAAGTGTATTTCCAGTGTATATTTAACAAAACTCATGGATCGGCACAAACCTCGGTTTTGGGTTCACAGTTTGGTGCAGTTTCAGTGCAGCAATTTAATTTCCACAGAAGCCCCAGCAGGAGTCATCTGGTCTGGATCGGCACAAAAATGGAGGGAGCTGCTTCTGAAAAGAGCCCCCCTGTGGAGTGTAAAACAAAGAGAACTGAGAGGTAAGGCAGAAGCTGTATCTGTTTGAACTGCTTTTCAAACCAACATAAAAAAATCTTCCCAGCATTTTTGAAAGAGAGAGTAATCAGTTGTAACTTAATAAATTAATATACTGTTGTCATTCCGACAGCATCTAGGTTTGCATTTCCTAGCTGAAATGACAGTATTTTCCAAAGATCCATATTCTCAAAAATGTGGCATTGAGTATTTTTTAAGTCTAATCAATTATAAATAGCAGTGATCATAGGAGTTGTAGGAATTATTAGCTCAGGTAAATTTTTATATTTCCACCAATATGTTTTGAAATTAATTACATTTTAATTAAATATTATTTAATGCTGATTATTAACCAATTGCTATGCCGAATGGTCGGCTCCTCCAAACTCAATTGCGGTATCCCCATGAGTATGTTAATGTGAGACTTAAATGGAATTCACTAATTACCAGTATCGCTTAGTAACCTGGGTTAGAAGGCTCGTCCAGCGAGTTGCATCACCAGGTAATGTAAACGATTGGTAGCGAAGCTCCCCTCATGGCCGATGAGAGAAGGTCTCGCGATATTTCAGGCGAGTTTGAGGTTTCAGAGCTTGTAGCTAGATCGCAGAGAGACAGGGACTATTGTGAGCACTCAATGAACGGAGGCTGAAGTTGTGTAAAAGACATGCATTTATTCCTAACTAACACTACAACTAACATAAGACAGACATTACATCTAACATAAACAACAAACACGAAATAACAGAATAGAAACAAACAATGTAATTATGAAAATGCAATGACCGGATTTAAATGAGTAGGCCTAACTTTAAAAGGGAAATACTGTTCTGAAAAGCAAGCACAGCTTGTGGAAACACGACTCTGGAGTCATATAGCAGGTTAACAGAACAGCTTAGGATGTTAGAATAAGAGGAAGTTCGCGTGGGTTTTCGCTGGGGGCTCCAGTGTTCTGTCATAAAATACTACCTATCGAGCCTTTCTGCGCATGTGCAGTTCCACCGTCTTGGGATTATGGTTAGGTTTTAGGGCAGGGCTCTTCAACTCTGGACCTCGATTCCAAATCCAGGCCGTGTTTTCAGTTCTCCCAGGTAGTTGTTTAATAATTACTGATTCTGATTGGTCAGAGGCTTCACACCTGACTGACAGGTAAAGGAAGGCTGGAAAACCAGCAGTGTTCAGACCTCGAGGACCGTGAGTTGAATAACCCTGTTTTAAGGGTTAGGGTTAGGGTTCAGGTAGGGGTTTTGGGGGGTTAGGGTTAGGGTAAGAGTTAGGGCTATCGATTAGCACTACGGTAGCATTTTTCGACAAGGCAGCATATATCTACAGAACACCGGTTTTCTCCCGCGGTCCAAAAGCGTGCAGGATAGGCTTATTGGTGAGTCTAAATTGGCTCTGTGGTGTGTTGGCGGCTGTGCACCCTTACTAGTACCTGAAACTAGAAGTTGATGTTTAATTAAAATTTATTGGATAATGTGGAACATACACGCATGTTTTAATTATCAATCATGTTGATAGATTGTTTAAGCTGTTTTTGTTAACAATTAGACTAATAATTTTCATTGATTAATAAAAATTTAAAGTGTCACTTACCAGATGGTGTCGAAAAAAGGGTCGTTTGGCTCCGTCCTGGCTTCATATCACTGATGACAGTCGGCCTGTGGCCGTTCCGCAGGTAGTGGGCCAATGGCTGTTAAAACAAGACGTACAAACGAGGTGGAACAGTACAATATGTTTGTTTGTAGTAGCCTAACTAAATATTTTTTGTCATACATTTTTTCCATCTGTATTTATTAGCTTAAAAAAAATTATATATAAAGTATAACAAAGTAAAAAGAGCTCTTGTATCGGTATCGGCAGTTGTGTATCGGAATCGGATCGGAACTGAAAAAATGTGGATCGGCCCATCCCTAGTCTTAGGAACCGAGACACCGCTCCTCTATTCGTCTCCAGGCGGGTCCGCCCACACGCAGATCCGCCCACATACGAGTACCCGGTGTGACGACATCATCGCGCCAACCCTTTCACATACACCCCGTACAAATACAGGTGTATGTGACAGGGTTGGCGCAATAATGTACTTATGCGGACTAGCTACTGTGTAGAAAGCAGCAGTATTGGAGGTAAAACGACATTTCTGATCTGGTGAGAAAGAAGTAATCTCAACCTTCGCACTGAAGTTGGCTTCTTACGCATACTGTCACAAAATGTAGCAATGTAGTTTACTGTTGTTATATTAAGACTGTTACCTATGCTACACCATGCTTCAAGACAAAATTTCATTTATTTGTAATCAGAAATAAATATTTCAAAATATATAATTACATATTGTTTTTGTGATTAATCACTACCCAGATAGCAAGCACAGTCGGCCCGATTTCGGCTGAATGTTGGCACTATTGGCTGAGGTCCGGGTCGGCTGAAGCACTGTATCTCTTGAATGGGCCGTTGTTCTGTCGATATATGCTGCCTTGTCGAAAAATGCTACCGTAGTGCTAATAGATTGCCCTAACCCTAACTCTTACCCTAACCGAATATCGTGTTTTCCGATGTGTTTTCCGATGGTCTTAGGCGACCAGTGTGAAAGGGTCGTTCGATCCCCAAACGGGTCGCGACCCACAGGTTGAGAACCGCTGGTCTATAGTCAGGCCATAATATAAAAGCAGAAAGGGTTCCTAGCTAGGGCTGGCTCAGTGTGGAACACGTTAATCCGTGTAGATTAAAACAAAAAGACCTCGGCATCTTCTTTCTCCTTTTTCTTTCACGGTCAGCCAGTTCAATCTTATCTTTAGGTGAGACTATTTCATGTTAAAGCTAACTGTAAGCATGCCTGTTTGCATCATGAGTTATATGACATATAAAAGTACATGAATGCAGAGCAGAAAGCTAAACAACTGAAGATTTAATGTGAATTATATGGACTATGTTTAAATAATGAGGATTTGTTTCCTCTCACTGTCTACAGAGTCCTGATGGAGAGAGCAGGCTCATCTGTACCCAGCTGTGTCTCCATGAAGAGTGACAGGTCAATGGAGCCCCCAGTCAGATTCAGAGGGCGACCTTTTCCTACAGATCAAAGGTAAATGTGCATTTATACTAGAGGGAACAAACAGATCATCCATCCTATCAAAAATAGTCACAAATAATGAAGTAGAGCAACAACAGCCAAGTCTATCAACTGAGATTATAACAGTGATACTAAACTAGGGTGACCAGATAATCCATGTCAGGGAGGACACTCTGAGCTAGGACAGGAATTGTAAATTACCATTTCAATTAAACTGACCTGGATTTCACTTGAGCACCGAGTTCTTGCTGTGTGTTGATTGGTCAGTCTCCTATAATCATGCATGTGTCACTAATGCTAATGTGAAACAGCTGGATGAGTCTTTCAGTCAAGGAAACAAACCAGTCAAAGCACAAGAAGAGCTGAACTCTTTAGCCGAGCACAGGAGCCTTTTAATTTGGAAGTAGTTTGTAAAACCTGAAGTAGCTCAAAGTGTCCTCCCTGACATGGATTATCTGGTCACCCTATACTAAACCATTCATATTGGAATCTTATTTTTAGGTGAGACTATTTCATATGTTACGTGCCGTAAGTTTGGGTTATGTGCCGTAAGGAAAATGCGTGCCGGAAGGGATATGTGCCGTAAGTTCAGGGTACGTGCCGTAAGTGTTACGTGCCGTAAGTTTAGGAGGATGCCTACAGGTCCTTCGGACGTCCTGCCCGTTCGCCCATTTGTCAACCGCTCCCTCGACTCCGCCCTCTGGACCTGACCCCGCCTCCCTTTCCTTCAGAGCAGTTTCCGGTTCGTAGGCTGAAGAGGCTGCAGCTTCGTCCCTTCGTCTGCCCGCTATTTGCTTCTCGTCTGCTAGCTCGCTCTTCGTTCGCTTTGCTTTTTGTATGACTGCTTGTGTATGACTGTTTTGTTCCTGACTTCCGATTTTCGCCTCATTCCTTATTGTACCTTGGCCCTGGTTTTGACTGTCTGCTTGCTTTGAACTCTCGCCTGTACTTCGACTTCGCCTCTCTGATCTCCCCTCTGGATACCTTTGCTTCGACTGTGTGTTTCGTGTTCCACTAGGTGTGTGTAGGGAGTGTTTGCCCTGTTTGTTTCTTCGTCAACGTGGGGATTACTGTTTGTTTGGTTAGGGAAATAGGCTTAGGCATTGTTGTTTCGTTTCACCTTTTTGTTGTGCTCACTTAGGATTACCTTAGCTTGTGGTTGTTTTCGGTAGATGTGTTTTGTTTGTTTCTTTGGCCTTTGTCACTCCTGACGTTCGTTACACCTAGTGTTTGTGAAGTGTCTGTGAAAAACTCTAAAAAAAAAAAAACTATAAAAAGACTCCCTTTGTGTCCCGTGTTCCCTTCTCCTAACCCTGGTTGTCTTGTCCTTCCCAATCCCTCCTTCCCTTTCACTTTGTTAGGCTCCAACCCTAGACTGGAGCGTAACACATATTAAGGTTAAACATATTAAACTGTAAGCAAGCCTGTTTGCATCATGAGTTATATGACATATAAAAGTACATGAATGCAGAGCAGAAAGCTAAACAACTGAAGATTTAATGTGAATTATATGGACTATGTTTAAATAATGAGGATTTGTTTCCTCTCACTGTCCACAGTGTCCTGATGGAGAGAGCAGGCTCATCTGTACCCAGCTGTGTCTCCATGAAGAGTGACAGGTCAATGGAGCCCCCAGTCAGATTCAGAGGGCGACCTTTTCTTACAGATCAAAGGTAATATACATGTAAACCAGGTGTCACCAACCTTTTTGAAACTGAGAGCTACTTCACGGGTATTGAGCCATACGAAGGGCTACCAGTTTGATACACTGTTCTTAAATCATGTATAATAAACATGTTTTAAATGCTTTTTTTTTAGACATTGTCATTTTCAAATCTATATAAATGCAAATGTGATTAAAGAAGAATAGCAACAGGATAAAATTTAATTTTAGACGCTGCTCACTGGTGATATGTGCTATTTTTAGAACAGGTCCGTGAGCAACTTGTGTGGTCCTTGGGGGCATCCTGGTGCCCGCGGACACAATGTTGGTGACCCCTGGTGTAAAAAAAACACAAGATACCCCCCTACAGATACATTTCTGTCACACATCACTCCTGCCACTCTTCCCCACCCACTCCACCTTGCCTGTACCCTCTTCTTCACTTCTGTACTGCATTCTCCATTACTTCGGACAGTTGACCCCAAATATCTAATCTCACCTACCTTCACTGCTCACTGTTATACACAACTAATGAGGGGCAGCTGGAGTGATCCACATGAGGGCTGAAACGAGAGGCAGCACAAATGAGCAATAGGTGTGGCTCTATCGATCCACACTAGAGAGAGAATGAGAGGGGCAGGGATACGGGGCATGACAGCCCCCCCCCCCAACCCGTGCACTCTGTGCACGCATGGCACACCGAGGAGGGGACCTACAGGGCCCAAACAGCAAAGCAAGGAACAAAAGGGACACCAGATTGGACAGGGGCCAACAGGACACTGGATGACTAGACACGACAGGCCAAAACATCAAATGAGTACAGGGGTACCAAATGAGCAGGAACTAACAAGAGAGACATGAGATGAGACAGGGGCAACACAGCAACCATGGAACACAACATGGACCAGAACAGGGTGGACAAGTGAAGGGTCACCAGGGTGAGGACCAGGCAACCAGGGGTGAACCCACATCCAGATTTATTTAATCTTTCTTTTACTAAACAGGGGACGACAAATAAAATGTGCTGAATTAAAAGGTAGCTGCTGCAGAGTGGATCACCTTCTCTGGGGGCCCCAGGCTGACATGGGTAGGGGCCCCTATGTGGGAAATTCCAGCTATATAAGAGAAACGAGAAGGAATTTAACACGATGGAACATGAAAAACATGCTAATCAAAGTGCGGGATGTCAGCGGTATGGGGTGTCACAATGACTCGATGTTCGCTATTAACAAATAGGATGACGCATTAAAAATGTGATAAGCATTGTAGGGGTGTAACAATGTACTGTGGCACAAAGTCATTTATTAATGTTAACACAAGAGGGCGCAATAGGAATAATTATTTTGCTTTCAGATTTTGTTTTTGCATTTTGCGCTGTTCTGCAGAATAAGGAAAAGAATGCAAAAAAAGAAATGGTTTGAAAACAGCTTCTTTGTAAATGTACATGAAAGAATAAAGCCAGTGAGATCTTAGTCTGTTTTCAGTCATAATTTGTTGAATACATTGGGAGCGTATTGAGCCGTGAGCCCTGAATCTTCTACTGAAACAAATTGTGAATAGACTGTATCATTACACCCATAGCCAGCAATAAAACTTACCGAACAGGGTGGGGGGAGGGGGGTCGATTGGCCAAATTTAAGACGTATTATTATAGAATATACTATTTTATCAGCTGAGGGGCCCCCAAATTCCGTCTCTAAATAGTTATGGCAATTAAGTCGACATCTGTGTGACATCATGTTAATCACTTTACAAGCAGTAACCCCTGAATGTTACTGAGTAACTGGGAGCTACATGCTAAACCGTCCCTCCTGGCTGCTACCTGCTGTCTCTCTGTGCTGCCACTAGATGTCACTGCTTCTCTTATAC